GAAATATTGAAATTCCTTCCAAAATAGGAACTGTATACATTCATTCAAGTTAAAACAAGTTTACCTGCTAGACAAGAACTCGCATCAAAAAAATTTGATTCCTATCTCAACAAGAATGTCACAGATAAAATATCTCTCTTTGAAATGGATTTTGGAAGGACTACATTTGAATAATTTTGTTGGTCAACACAGCAAAATCTTGTCCATAGAATAAGTGTGTTGGCCAACACACCAAAATCTTGTCCATAAAATATTGAAATTCCTTCCAAAATGGGAACTACATAGTTTCATTCAAGTTAAAACAAGTTTACCTGCTAGAAAAGAACTCCCATCAAAATAATTAGAATATGTCAAAAAAATTGGCATATAAATAACAAAATACAATATGAAAACATAAAGAATAATTACGACGAAAAGTAAAACAAACATAAAGATAAAAATTTAAATGGGAAATTTATCAAAATACAAATGAGAGTTGAACTAACTATTCTTTTTTTCTTTTTGTGTAAATCAGTGGAGATTACAGGCCCCTATCTATTTTGGAAATAGTTAATTTTTTTAAAGTGTTTGTAAGAATGGATGTTGTGACCTTTAACTAGGGCTTGGGTAGTACTACCACTAGGAACCCGGCTCCCATTCTTATTTGCAACATTTCTAAGTCATGATCATGTGTCTTTTGAAGCGTAAAGATACGGGCATAATGTTAAATAGTTCATTTCTCATGATTATTTGGATAAAATTTTTAAATTAAATATTAGCTTAAAAATTACACAACAAAGTAGAAATAATATATTTTATTTGAATTAAATATTTTTGAAATTCATTTTCATTTAATTTCACAGCTGGAGTATCATGAAGGCAAGCGGTTTTAGCAAAGAATTGATGAAATGAATGTCTAGGTGTTGGTATATTACATGAGGATCGTCAACATACGGACAAGCAGCCTTGAACTGTTCAAATTTATTCTAGGCCTATTCAAGGGCCACAAATTCATTTGTTTTAGTATTATTTTTTCCACACAATAGAACATTGGTGTGTCCAGAGCTCCAAACATCTTTATAGGGTGGACCAACTAACAGAAAAATATTTTAAATAAAAATAAAATATACCCCTAAATGTTTCAAGTATTTTGATCAATCTTTTTATTTTAATCAATTTTTATTTTTAGTGAGTGAGCCTTGCATGTACCCCCATTTTTCATATGAATTAAAATTATAATTAAAAATACAATAAATCCAATAATTGTGGCTTATGGCTGGGCCTGGATTTAACATATTAAATCTAAGCCTTTGAATGTACTTGTGTACCCTTTATGTGCCCACATGACGTGGATGCCATACTTTTCGTGTTACATATTAGCTCATTGTGTAGTCACTTTCTATTATCTAGACCTTGACTATGGTCCTTTTGATGCATGAAATTAAGGGAAATTAACAAAATGACATTTTTTTGTTTTTAAAATTTAAAAATAGTCCTATACGTTTTATATTTTACACTTAAGTCTTACTTTTCTTATTATATATATTGTATTTTAATTTTACTCTTTTTCAATATATCCAACTAAGCTCAAATTTTGAGCATCCATATTTCTGTCCATAGTATACTAGTAAAGTTTTTGAAAAATAAGCTAAATAGAAATAACCAAAATACTCCTATACTTTCAATACTTTAATGGTAAGTTGCTCTTTTTTTTAAAAAATCGGTGGGAAATTGGTCATTTTATTTATTTTAATACATCTTTATGATGTTTTGACAAATGTGAGATGGTGATAAGCATCAACTGCCCAAATTTGAGCAAAAATTGATGCATAGAAGAGAAAATAAATTTTTTCTGGACCTTGAATATGGTCCCTTCTGATGCATGAGATTAAGGGAAATTAACAAAAGGGTGTGGTTTATATAGAGTCGAGGCTCTAACCAATCAAATTTGAGCCTGCGTTCAAATAGTGTCAAGAAATATCGTTTTAATATTGAAATTTTCTATAATAGCCTTAAAATATATTTTCATCTTTAATTATAAAATTTAAAACTTCAAAAATAATGTAGATCAACCAGATCTATGAAAACTTGAAAATCTTGAAAATTGACAGTAAAAAAATGTTTTACAAGATGCACTATTTCTAAAACTTGAAATCCATTTTTTTCTTATGTCCATGCATCTTGATGTTGAGATGATCAATTTGATGATATTTGGGTTTCAAAACAACCTCTTCTAGTAAAATTTTTGAGGTAGGTTCTAATTTGATTGTTTAGAGCTTAGGCTCTATATAAACGTTTCCCTTAACCAAAACATATATTTTTGTTTTCAAATTTTAGAAATGGGAAAAGTTTATATAGAGCCGAGGCTCTAAACAATCAAATTTTAGCCTACCTCAAAAATTTCACTGGAAAAGGTAGTTTTAATATCCAAATATCTTCAAATAGATCATCCTGACATCAAGATGCATGGACATGAGAAAAAATGGATTTCAAGTTTTGGAAACATTTTTGGACACCAATATTCAAGATTTTCATAGGTATGTCGATCTATACTATTTTGAAGCTTTAAACTTTATAAATAAATATGAAAATATATTTTAAGGCTATCACAAAGATTTCCAATATTGAAACCACATTTCTCGACATTATTTGAACGTTTGTTCTAAGTTGATTGTTTGGAGCCTAAGCTCTATACAAACCTCACCCTTTAAAAATAGTTATACATATTTTATATTTTACACTTAATTCTGAATTTTTTAATAATATATATGGTATTTTAATTTTACTCTTTTTCAATATATCCAACTAATCTCAGGGCATCCATATTTCTATCCATAGTATACTAGTAAAAAAATAAAAATAAGTTAAATAAAAAAGACCAAAATACCCCTATAAATTTCAAAAATTTGGTGGTATTTTTGAAATTGGTGGGGGAAAAGGTTGTGTTATTTATTTTAAGACGTTTTTATGGTGTTTTGACAAATGTGAGATGGTGATAAGGACAACTCCCCAACTTTGAGCTCAAATGATGTATACAAGAGAAAGTAATATTAAAATATAATACTCACTCTCAAATAGTGGTACCTTAAAGTAAAAAATAAAATATAAGACTTGGTAAATTTCTCTAAAACCAATTAAAAAAAGTATTTTGTTGGGCCACGACTTTATAGAGATACATGTCAAATATCAACATATAGTGTAGTATCAGTGCTGAAAAACCTTAAAATCGACCATTTCACCTTTTAACAATCTTAAATCTGAAAAATGTAATGAATTTTAATCCTTAAAAATGTTGGAAAAAGTTTATGTAAGGATTCTACTTTAAATACAGATGCATTTCAAAAATCCATTTGAAATGGTTGTTTCAATGTTGAAAAAATCTCATTGATCATCTCGACATTGAGTTGTACTAATATGAAAAAATAAAAATTTGAGTCCCAAATATAGTACATATTGCGATACATTATTTAGACTGTCCATTTTCAAAATTTTCATATATTTATAAATCTATTTGGTTTTAACTATTTTTGAAGTTTAAAATTTTATAATTAGATATAAAAATAGATTTTGAGATAGTCCTAAATTTTTTTTTGCCAAGATTACATGTTATGATAAAATTTGGAGGTGCGTCTTAATTGGATTGTTTAAAGGTTGCAACCTACACAAACCGTACCCAAAAATGTTTATCTTGTAATACGGTCTTTTGAATTATTCATTTTAAGTGCTCGGAGTTCTACTAGCCATTCCAAGGTTTGTGCCTCCAAAAACTTCATTTTCTAAGAGGATTTGGAGGAGCTGTTCTACGGAATATAGTAAGTGCCACGGCCCCATGACATCAAATCCAAAAGTAAGTGAAAAAAATAAAAGATAATAGGAAAAATATACAATGAAAACATTTATCTTTGGTGCAATGTGGTCATAATTAGCGTTGATCATTTGATGTAAAATTAGATAGTTGTATTTATTTATTGACCAAGCTCAAACTTTAAAATAAATTTTCTCAAACTTTTGTGAGACACCCAAGCTATTAGATTTCACATCGGATGGTTGTAAGTAATTGCGATATCCTTGTATCATAGGTAAATGATCTCATTGTATACAAACCCAAGATAATAAGGCATAGGCTTTATGACAAAAAAAAGAAGAAGTAAAGCCTTACTTAAAATTCACTGAAAATTATAGTTTGGGTGTGAAAAAACTTTCAAATTGATTACCTTAACTTTGATCATTATTGTTGTGAAAAAAAAAGAAAGGATTTCAACTCCAAAAATAGTGTATATTGTAACATGTAATCTAGACGATCTATTTTCAAGTGTTCACATATCCGCAAGATCTGTACTATATTTTGAGCTACAAACTTTACAATAAGTGGTGAAAATAAATTTTACAGGCATCATAAAATTTTTCTATACTCGAAGTGTTTATTGGATGAGGTTTGGAAGTGAAGCTTTGTTTTTTTTTTTTATGGTGTGATTTGTAGAAGGTCGAGGCCCTCAACAATCAAAAGCACCCTTTCAAATAGTATTCAAAGATGTAGTTTCAGTACTAGAAATTTTTGGATGACCTTAAAATTTATTTTCATCTTTAACTATAAAAACTTAAAAACTTTTGAAAATTGATGGTCTAGAAAATGAATTACAAGATGAACTATTTTCAAAACTTGAAAATCCATTTTTTTTCATGTTCATACATCTTGAGGTCGAGATAATCTATTTAAAAATTTTTGCTCACCAAAACAACATTTTCTAATAAATTTTTGAAGTGCGCCGTAATTGGATTGTTTAGAGCCTCACCCTTATATAATTAGTTAAATAATTTTTAAGGCCCAGGCCTTAAAGAAACTGCATCTAACCAAAGCATGGAATTAAGCCGCACCCAAGGCGATGAACACGAAGTCCTCCTATTTTTTATCTCTCCTCTCACTGGGCACTACAACCCCTCTTCGACATCATCGCCTCGACCGCACACACCTGCTACATTGCAATTACAATTGCATTACCCGTGAGGCAATCTCGTAATTTATTCACAAATCTTGGGCTTTATTCAAACATCTTCCTTTGAGTTTAGTTTTGAGTTGCAGTAATTGTACTTGCACATTTATATTTCTCCCTGTTTGTTTCATCATATCAATGGCTTCTTCTTTCTCCCTGTCCAAGCCTCCTCCTCCTTTCTTTACTCAGGTTTCTCTTCCTATTTTCCATTTTCATTGAAGTTTTCAGTTTTTTTCAAGCTGTATCTTTTCAAACTCAGTTAGTGACATTTGCCTTGGTTTATATTTTATCCATCAAGGATTGGAGATGCTGCAGAGTTGGTCTTCAGATCTCTGTAGCTCCCCCATTGAAGTTGCAGAAGGCATTTCCCACCACCATTGTCTCCTCTTCTAACAATGTTTCCTCCTTGGAAACTGGTATGGTACCCTCTGCTGTTTTTTGCATGATTATTCACAAATAATCAGGTCTCTTATGTCTTAACGGGATTTTCTTTAACTTACCTTTCTGGTTTTATCAGAAGCTCGTTTTTTTTTTTTTCCTGATCCATTTTCGGATTCCTTCGGATCATTTCTTAGTTTTCTGTTTTGTGTTCGAATTGGTTGGTTGTACAGCCCCAGGCACAGAACTTGATGCTGTCTCAACTTTCAGTGAGATTGTACCAGACACTGTCGTATTTGATGACTTTGAAAGGTAATCTTATGTGATTCGACTTCTATTGCTACAGCCATGATGGTTATCTGCTAGAATTGGTTTGCTGTTCTTGCTGGATCAATAAATAAGATTGAAATCTCCTATTGTTATTTGTTATTGTTATTATTTGATTGTTTCCTAGAGACCTGGAAAAGATGTTTGTTATTTATCCATGGAGCAGTAAATGCCCCAGGTCGTCTTGAAAAATTTACACTTTGGTCTTCCAATAATTTTAGTGTCTGTATATGCATGCATAGCTGAATTTGGTCTTCTTTTTTTCTTTGAGGTAAGTCAACCTAGAAGGTCCTATATCCGTGTTTCTTTCATAAAAATTTGGTCGCATCACAGCATTTAGCTGTCACTTGGAATGGTACAGTTTGATGAATTAGGTCTGCATAATCTATGGATCTAGGAAAAATTATTTGCTTTGTGGAATGTAGGTTTCCACCAACAGCTGCAACAGTTAGCTCTTCGCTTCTTCTTGGCATTTGCAGCCTCCCAGACACAAAATTCAAGGTTCAATATCATAATTTTTGTAGTTGAATATGCATAACGTTGGTTGGCCAGGGTTCTTTTTACAAAAATTCAAGGTTCAAAATGATTTCTCCTGTAATTTGAATGAATAGGATGGATTGTATTCTTTTTGTGCGAATTTCATTCTCTGAAGAAGCTGAGGTTTCAAGAATTTGCATATGCAGAGTGCCATAGAAACTGCACTTGCTGACGGAGAATGCTGCACCAAAGAGAATCCTGATGATCGTTTAGCATGCTTCTACAATAAGGTCTGCTTATGTTCCTGGAGAACTATTCTCTGGTTCCAGGAAACTAATGTTATAGGTTGAACTGTCTCCTATTTTTGCAGGCTCTCGTAAATGTAGGGGCAGACCTTGCAAAAGCAGTACCTGGTCGAGTTTCAACTGAAGTGGATGCCCGTCTAGCTTATGATACCCATGGCATAATTAGAAAGGTATTGGCGGACATGATTTCTTTGTTACATGGATACTTTTGTTTGACACGTAAATAGATTATTCTTCTTGTTTATTAACCATTGCTTACATTGTTATGGAGACTTAATCTTCTTTTTTGTTGTGTGAACTTTGAAAATGCCTATAGACTCCTAAAATATATATGAGTTCAGTCAATTAGGGTATAATTGACCATATCTAAATACTCATCATGAAATGGAAGATCAGTAATTTTTCATTTTGGATTTGTTTGTCTTTTCATAATATAGCTATATCACCAAATCTTCTTCATGGCAGGAGTTTGACACCTGTGCCAATGTCAAATGCTGATACATGTTCCTTGTCCATGCAGCATAGCATTATTTGTAATATACTAGTTTGCTAATTCTTTTCATAGTTAATGGCCCACAAATTAGCTTACTCTTGTTATGTAAAGAAATCAAATAAACTAATTCACTCTGGCCCTATTTCTTGGGTCTATTTTACCTTGATTTGTGCTATGCATGAACCTTCATCAATATCATTTATTCATTGCATTTTATACTAGACTAGTTGTATATGCAAGTATTCTCTAAATGTTTACTGCACATACTCTGCTTGCAAAGGCTTTGCTACAATCATTGTCTATCTTTATACCAACAGGCACAAACTCTGTCAGGAGATTTCATTTATAGCATCTGATTGTGGCAGTTTATATAAAACCACTCCTGGATTGATAGATACAAATGTCTTCTAAATACTCTTCCAATGATTGCTTACAATGCTCACTTCTCTTTGAACCATGTGCTATGTGCTAAATCTGGCATAGTGTTGCATAGTTCTTTCTAACTGAGAAAATGACTGTGTCTAGCTACATTTTAGATGTTTGCAAGTTCTTGAATCTTGTGTTTGATTGTTAACAAAACACCTTTCATTGAATGAAGACAAGAATTTGATCGCATTACAACATCTATACAAGAAAATAATACAAGATAAACCAAAAATATTTGGCAAAAAAAAATGAAGAAAGGAAAGGGTGAAAGTTGGAAGAGATGTGGAAAGAGGAGAGTGGAAAGAAAGATCGCCAATGAGTAGACCTTCTTGACAATGGAAAGGAGTCTTCAATGACTAAGGACTCCCTCCCCATGTCTGTGTGAATCTGATTGTTGTTCACCTTTCTAAGGCTAATTGTTGTTTTCGCCAACTTTTGTTACTCCCATTGTTCCAAACAACGCTGGGTGGGGGCATCGAGGCTGCCCAGTGCCTATGCGGGCGCCTAAGCGGACCCGGGTAGAATAAAAAGCATCGGAGATCCAACTGTTTTAGGGTTAGATTCTATGTAAAAACTAAAAAATGCATGTTGAGACATATATCACATTAAGAATAGTAGGAATAGGGTTGAGGTTCAGGTGTTAGCACCACTCAGCTACTAGTATTGGTTTCCATTCCTACCAATGTTAACCCCTTTCGAAAACTATTAACAGTTTCAAAAATTTCTAGGCCACTACTAGCAGTTAATGTTAAAAAAAAAACAACAACAGCACATTAAGAATAATCCATCCATAGTCCATTATTCTATGTTCAAACTTCGACATAGACCATGTGCTGCTGTTGTTGTTTTTTTTTAACTAATTAACTACAAATTTACAATTGATATAGTATTATTAATTACTAACTAGTAACTACTAATACAAATTAGTAAACTGTAAATTAATAGACTAATCTAAATTACCATCTCAAAAGTATTCCAGTTCCGCTCATAGCCGGATGGGGTAGTGGTTAGGCTCAAGATCCGAATGGGCCAAATTTTGAAAAAACGCTAGGCGGTCGGCCTGGCGCCCAGAACCTCAAGCGCGCTGTAGTACAAATTCTTTAGATATATACATATATGTGTTATCCAAACGTACATATATGCATATATTTGTGTCAATTTTGTGATTTATTGCATTTAAAAATATTATAACATACTTTTTTATATTCAAACATGTGATATATCGCATGTTGGGAATAAACTTGTTCAAAATTTCGAATTTCAAACCATACAAAATTTTGAAAAATTTAAAAGTCTAATAGGCTATGTATTAGTAATAGTCTCCAACTCTGCATATGAGAAAATAATTCCCATGAGAAAAAAAATTATGAAGCTTTTTCAAACCACAAAAATTACTTTTGATTATCAGAAATACGTATAGCTAAGAGATTAAGGGTTTATGCAAGTGTTCTTTTAACTTTGGGAGGTTGAAAATAACCCCCATAACTATTTAAACCTTTTTGGGGGGTCAAAATTACCCCTTTTTCCTTTTTGGGCATCCTTAAAAGAAAAAAAAGGCCCATGTCTCTAGGTGCCCTCCTGGGCTACCACTCAGGTATGGCTGCCCAAAATTGGGTGCCCAAGTCTAGGCGTGTGGCCAGAGGTGTCTTGGGCGTCTTGACGCTTGACAGACCATTTTTTAGAACATTGGAATGGCCTACTTTTGTAAGTTTGGAGCATTACACCATGTTGGCTCCACCACTTAGCTGCAAATTGATTATGAATTGCAATTATACATGAAATTTGAAAAACAAACAACAAACATGAAACTTGAACTTGAGGACTGGGTTAAGAACATACTTGGATCAATTTTGGTCCTTTGTCTCACTGCCATTGGACTCCCAAATGACTTCAATGCGTACTTGTAACTTATTAGCTCATCAACAAATATAATGTCTTGGATATCTTGATTATGGCCTAGCACATCCAGACACTTATTAAATCCAGTCATAATTATGTGATTTGTGCGTATATCCCTATCAGCATAATTAAAAGCTGGGTTCAAAAAATAACCAGGTACATGTAATGGTTGATGTAGTTGGCACATAGCAGCTCACATCATCGTCCAAATTACGAGCAATCTCTCTCTAGCAACTTTTTATTGCCTCATATATGTAGCCTATGGAGGGCTTGTCATTGTTAACCATGCAAAGGACTTTAACAAGAGGAAAAAATACCTTAAGAGCGCCCTTCACCCCTCGCAAAAAAACCTTAAACATGACAATATCTCTCACCTTCTTCCCTTTCTGATCCCTAGCCTACTTGTATGCTCTCTAATCATTAGAGGTAAACATTTGCTTCAACTAGACTCTCCTCGAATATATGCTATCTAGACATACTTACCAGGTAGCAAATCTTGTAACCCCAAGCCTCACAATCACCTTCTTTTTTGTAAATTTGCGCATCATGTTGAAGGTGAGGGTGTGGCTATAAATAAAGCCGTAATTGACCTAGCCTTCTTAATTGTACCTGGAATCTCGTTCAAGCCGCCAATAGCCTCAAGCATGATGTCTATACAATGTGTTGCACTTGGTGTCCAACATATATTAGGCTAGGCTATGCGCAACAAATTAGCAGCAACAACATTAGGAGCAGCATTATCTATGACTACTACCTGTATAACGTGCTGCTCCCCAACCTCCTTGATGCCCATCTCCATCATTTTAAATATGTAATGGGCATCATGGCTACTTCCTTCTTGATTCTATTCTCTATGGTTGTTTGCTTCTTTGTTTTCTATCTTGCAACCTCATGGTCGGGCTTGGGCAAAAAAGAATCCATAGGTCCCCCCAACCCGAGGCCTCTTACTCCCCACCCCCAGAACCAACTACGTCTCTTTTTTCTTTCCCGTTAGTATGGGACATAGCATGCTACTCCACCTCTTCACTCCCCTCCTGATCACTATCATCATCATCATAATTAACATGAACCCCACCCATACCTTAGTTCTGCTATGCATGCCTCTCTTTCGTCTTTTTTCTTCTTTACTGTACTCATATAATTTTTTATCTCCTCCTTAATCGCATCCAAAAATTTTTACACTGGGCAACATGCCCTTGATACCGGCAAGATGTTTCTTGAACCAGTTTATACCCCCATTTGTATCCTTCTCACAATAATTGAATCTTATGCAATTTTTATCAAAAGGATTCGGGTTATAGCCATGTTTCCAACTTGGATCACCACTTCAATTAGATCCCGGAGAAGACATCTCAAATTAATCTAAGCAATCTAAAAAAAAATAAAATTCACTATCCTTGATTGCTCGATCTTCAAATTTCCATATTTGAGATGTTTTCCAATCTCAAAATCTTCTAAGAAACCCTCTAATAGTCCTAAAAATCTCCAAAACTAAGTCTAAACTCAAAAGGTGATGTTTGGATCGATTTCTCATTACTATGAGAAACCCTTCAATCCTATGGAAATCACATTAGTGCCAATTTTTTTGATGTTTCTCTCTCTAAAGTGGTTCAAATGGGGTTTTGGTTGCATATGAACCTAAACCCCATTTTGTAGAAGCTTAAATTTAGCAAAAAAAAACCTAAAATGCCCCTCAATGAGAAGTATTTTTGTTGGCGATGGGCTCCTGCCTAGGAGGGGTCCCAAGCGCCTAGGTGGCCGCCCAGGGACTCCTTGACTAGGATGCCATCTCCTATGCTCCCCTGGCCCACCTAGGTGGTCGCCTAAGCGATAGGCATATCGTTTTTTGAAACACTGGTTTCCCCAAATTCAATAGACCCTGGACGCCTATCTCCTTATGATGATCGTTTTAGTCAACCTACCTCTTACTGATCGGAGAACTGATAGAAACCTGATTTGTTTGAGCTGTAGAAGATATTGAATTGGGACCCAGCCCTAACACACTCTCCTAAACATTACACAATTCTTTGTTTTCATGAAGAAAGGCTAATTGTTCTTCACGTCCAATTTTGGTTTCCATGAGTCAGTGTGGCTTGGACATATCTCTTTGCTGTGATGTTTATTCAACGTGTGGATTTAGTTGGAAGAATATCTCAGTTGAACATGATCTCATTGGCTTGATGGCAATATGACCACCGACTCTGAGGTTATGAAAACTTTGGTTCGGTGGCCTGGAATTCTCCTAAAGCATGTGAAGCTTTCAACACTATATAAACTGCTTCTAAATTCACTATTATTTGGCCATTCCATGGATGCTATTTTGGTCAACATTCTTACCATTCCTTTGGTGTTGCTGTTATGGCAGCATCCTATGTACGCACTCACTTCCTGGTTTCATTTAAGAATTTTTGATTAAGATTTTCAAATCTTTGGCAGTTTTTTAGTAGGATGGAGTTAAGAGTTTATGCTCTGAAGTTCCATGTCCTTTGATCAATATGGGCCTCCCTTTGCACCAGGTTTGAATTTGACGTACATGCCTGTGCATTGAGGATTCTTGAAGCGCTCCTTGCCAAGCTAACCTTTGTAAGCAGATGATGTCATGGAACAGAATTTGAAAATGGGGCTTTGTACCTCCTGCAGTGTAAATTATTTCAGGAAGTAGAAAACCTGGTATGAGATGATTTTTAGGCATTATAGCTGTCCAGTGCATGCCTTTTCTGTGATAATGGTTTCCTTGCATAGCAGCCTCAACATCATAATTTCTTTGAAGCATCTGGTGCCATCAGCGTGACAAATTTAAACACACATGTATAGTGTCTAAATATGCATGGCTAATTCCAGTTTCACATGCTTTCTCCATGAAAGTGAGCGCTGTGAATATGTACGACACAAAGTCCTGTTCTGATACGTTGATCTATGGGCAATATTGTCTTAGGTGCATGAGCTTTTGAAGCTATACAATGAAGTAGAAGTTCCTCAGGAACGCTTACTGTTCAAAATTCCTTCAACCTGGCAAGTAAGCTACTTGGGCACTGAAGTCATCTGAGCTGTATCTTTATTATTTTCTTTATGATAAGTTTAGCACAGTGTGCTTTTCTAATATCAAATTTGTTTCTTTTCTTGTTGTAGGGCATAGAGGCTTCAAGATTGCTAGAATCAGAAGGCATATTGACCCACTTGACTTTTGTTTACAGGTACGTAGACTTGTGAACTACCAAATGGTTGTAGTTCATTAATTTGGCTTGTTTCCCAAAACCATTGCACTTTATTTTTGCATACCTATCTGAAGGTCCATGAATTGAAACATTAATTGAGGTGAACTAGTTAGTGGTCTACCAAGAGATTCTGCTCAAGGATGAATACCATGTATCTTGAAACATCCATTAATGGTCAAAGAAGACATTTTGGATATATATATATACATACATACATACACATACCAGAAGAGAAAAATAGAATTTGAAATTGGGAATCCAAGCTGTATATATCTAGGACTTTGTGCTAGGTATCTGACATCCATCTAGAATTTTCCATTAGAGTTTTCATGTTCTTATCAATATGTTTTGCTTATTTACTGTGAATGTGTCTGTTTCATTGTCTCAACCATGGAGAAGAAAAACTGTCATGTTTTAGCAAACCTTTAATAAGTAAATGTTTATCTAATTTTGTGTAGTAGGATAAAAAGGTTTTCCCAGACATACTGTTCTGCTTCCGTGGTCCATTCTTGCCTGAGAGAAAAAATGATCAATACATGGGCGATGGGTGAATCTCATGGAGACAGAATTATCATATTCCTTGTTGAAGAATGTTAATGTTAAACATGTCCAATATGGTAAGGGCTGGTTTTCTGGGTATAAACCTGTTCCGGAACTTTTTTGGTGTGAATATTATCTCTATTCTTGCTAGTAAGATGTCTCTAGGATAGGCTAGGGTGTTAATTCAGTTTTTTTGGCATTTGACCTGGTTTTAACAACCATGACCTGTTTGGTCATGCAAGGGCACTTGAACAACCATCTCCATTACTTACCATTATTTAGGGCCTGTTTGACAACTCGAAGCTGCCTAGGAATTGGAAATTGGGACTTTTGGAAGCTGGAATTTTTGTCTCGATCTGACAAATGCAATGTTTGATAACTTATCAGGAATTCTACATTGTCTAGGAACCTGTGCTTGATAACTTGGAATTCTAGAAACCAGGAGACCAGGAAATTAACCGCTTTTAAGCAATGTTTAAAAAAACGGACCGCCCGGAGCCTAGGTGCCCAAAAAAAATTTTCTGCACGCCTGGACCTGGGCGCCCCAACACGGGCGGCTGTACCTGGGCGGGCGCCCATCGCCCAGCACAGTTTACAAAATTTTTTTTTAACTTCGCCCAAAGGGGCAAAGGGGGTCATTTTTGACCCCCAAGTTTGTATAAAATAAGTTTAGGGGTTTATTTTCAACCCCAAACTGAAAAAAACAAGAAACCCTCAATCTTAAACTTATTTATGAGAATCTAAAGCAATTGTTGAGAATAAAAAATACTTCTTGTGGATTGAAAAAGTTTTTTTGTCTGATTGAAATTATTTTTAGGGTGCTATTGGTGGTATTAGAAGACTTTTAAGTTGATTCGTAGCTTGACTGAGATAGCCAACATCGAAGATCAGAGATTGGGTAGAAAAGGTCAGTCTGTAATCTTTATTTGAGATTTATTTTTTCAATTTGAGATGTCTTATGCGGGGTCTACTAGGGGTGGAGATCTGAGATGGAAATATTGTGTTAACCCGGATAAGAATGACAGAAATAAAATTATGTGTAATTTCTGTGGACATGTTTCTAATACCGACATAAGTAGATTTAAGAAACATCTTGCCAGTATTGGAGGTGATGGCGCCCCATGTAAGAAAGTCGTAGATCTTGTAAAGAAAGAAATTTTGGAGCACATTGAAGCTGAAAAGAGTAAAAAAGTTGCAAAAAAAAAAGGATATAGCAGAATTAAAGTCAGGGGTTCATATTTTTTATGATAATATTGAAACTGAAGAAGACGATGATGAAGAGGGGGAAGAAGAGGTAGCCATGGTTGGTACTCAGAGCTCTAAGACCAAGAGGGCTTTTGGGTCTAAGAAGGCTCGTATGAGAGGGCCTATAGATAGTTTCTTTACACCTAGTCTTGAGACAGTAATTGAGAAAGGCAAGGGAAAGGGGAAAAAATAGGTGACAATTGAAAATAGGTTTAAAAAGGAAGATAGAGCCAGGGTGATTCAGTATATTGCTCGGTGGTTTTACCATGCGGGCATTTCTTTTAACACTGCTAGTTTGAATAGCTTCCATACAATGTTGGAAGCAATTGGGCAATTTGGGCCAAGTTTGAAGCTCCAACTCCTTGTGAGATTGGAGAGCCACTACTAAAGAAAGAAGTCGAGTACACTAATGAATATCTCAAGACTCATAAGGAGGGATGGACTAAATTTGGGGTTTCTTTGATGATAGATATGTGGAGTGATAGGAGGAGTAACATGAATTTATTAGTAAATTGTCCCACGAATACAATTTTTTTGCGCTCAATCGATGCTTCCAATGATGTTCATGGTGCGCATTATATATTTTATTTCATTGATAAGGGTATTGAGGAGGTTGGGGAGGAACATGTAATTCAAGTGGTCACAGATAATGCTGCTCCCAATCTAACTGTAGGTCATTTGCTTCGACAAAAGAGGCCTCGCATATTTTGGACTCCTTGCGCTGCACATTGCGTAGATCTTATGCTTGAGGCAATTGATGAATTGCTTCCTATTAAAGGAATTATTTGAAGGCTAAGGAGGTTACAATCTTCATATACAGTCACATACTTACCCTTAGCATGATGCGCAAGTTTACAAAAAAGAGAGAGCTAGTGAGGCTTGACGTCACTAGATTTGCCACTGCCTACTTTAGTCTACAGAGCATGTATAAGAGGAGGAGTCTACAGAGCATGTATAAGAGGAGGATCGCATTAAGGTTTATGTTTGCTTCAGAGGAGTGGAGTAGGTGTAAGTGGTTTAGAGATGCCTTGGGAAAGAAGACACGAGATATTATTCTTTCGAAATATTTTTGGCATGGGGTGAAGCATGCGATATTAGTATTTTTTCCCTTGGTGAAGGTCTTGCGCTAGGTTGATGCTGATAAGCCCTCCATGGGCTTTATATATGATGCAATGGAAAGGGCTAAGAATGAGATTGTAGAGAATTTGGGCGATGATGCAGCGAAGTATGCCCCAATTTGGGAGATTATAGATGATAAATGGGATAGGCAGCTCCATAGACCATTGCATGCAGCAGGGTACTACTTGAACCTCAAATTCTTTTATGCAAATGCAGATATTGAGTTAAAAGGGGTTATGGATGGTTTTAATGAGTGCCTTGAGAAATTAGTTCCTGATCCAAATATCCAAGATAAGATATCAATTGAAGAGCTAATTTCGTACAAGTGTTATTTGATGTCATTTGGGAAAGATATGGCATATCTTTCCCAAATACTTTAATACTTTATTGCACCATCTTGGTTTGGGCTTTAGACATTTGGAGTTTGAACGATTTTTATTTAGTTATGTGTTTTGTAATTTTTTTGCCTTTTTGGACTATTTCGCTGTGTGGTTTACTGGTTTTTCTATAGTTTTGGAAGTCAGTTTGTTGGTGACTTGGAGAGTTGGAGACTTGGAATCTTGGATGTTATTATGGTTTATTTTATGGATATGGAATATGCCAATATGGAGAATTTCTGAATTTGAGAGTTAGGAGACCTTACAGTAGTCTATTAGACTTTTAAATGTTTTGTATGGTTCAAATTTTGAAATAAATTACAAATTTTGACACAAATATATGCATATATGTGCATTTGAATAACAAATATATAAAAAAAAACTAAGAATTTGCACCACAGGGCGCCCAAGGTTTTGGGTGCCCGCCTAGGCACTGGGCCTTGGGCGCTAGGCCGGCCGCCTAGGGGCCACCTAGCATTTTTTGGAACCTTGCTTTTAAGCATTCAATGAAATTTTATTAATGAGATGGGGAAGTTTGTTAATGGATGATATTTTGAAATCATGACTTGTCCACGGTAGGTCTAACAAATTCGATGGTTTAGATCACCTAAAAAAGAAAAAATGATGTGGTTGAAGGCTACAATATGGATGGTTGAGTGCATGTATGATTATTTTAGTTCTATTATTGTAATTTTTTTTTCTTTACATCAGATTGAGCTAAAATTTTAGACATCTATTCTTCTCAGCCTCATGCACTTGTAAAAAGTACACAAATTATTTCAAAAAATAAAATGGTCGAAATACCCCTTAAACTATGAGGGGCATTTTGGTCATTTTATTTTGTTTGAATTATTATTTTTTTACTTTTTAGGGATGTGCTAGAACAAAGTGTGCACACACTCTCGATTTGATAATGGAAAAAAGAAAAAGAAAATACCATGGATGAAGACAAGGCCAACCTTTTTTAAATGACCAAATAGTCCACATTGTAGTTCACCTAAAAGGATACCAATCTCAACCGTCCAATCTTGATCAAATGATTGAGAGCATGCCAATATTTGAATTTTATCTTTTGTATATACTTGAGATTGAGTTGAAACTTAAGGAGTCCATTCTTTATGGTTTTTTATAAACCCACAAAAAATATAACTTTTTTTTGAAAAACTAAAATGATCAAAATACTCCTAAAACTTTGAGGGGTATTTATTTCTTTATATATTTTTTTTATAAAATGCGCCCTAATCGGCCCCATTAACTCTCCAAATTTCATGTTGATATGAGTTAAGAAAATGAAATAAAAAAGTATATCCAAATAATTGGAAAAAGATGCTACAGTTTGTACGCCTCATCCCAGCCTTTGTCTTCTATGGGGGGTGCATGGAAGGCCGAATATCTTATTTTTGGGGGAGATAGTATTTGGTTTGTAGCCATTAAAGCCCGTGAGAGCATATAAACATGATAAATATAGTGAATTGTGCCCTTTGGTGGGAGTGTATGTTGGTTGAGTGACTCACGTTTATACGGTCTATTGCCCTGGTCTTGTCCAAAGCCATTTTTTCTTTCCTTGGGCATAGGCACTACCGTCGAGGGTTTCATGAGGATTATCTGTTATTGAGGTCGAAAAGATGCCTAGGGATGGTTTGTAGGCCATGAGAGTTTCGTGGTCTCCTGTGTGCAATTGTAGGCCTAAGAGCGAGG